TCATTACATCATGTAAACACTATCTACATTGATTTTAAGTCTTGGAATGTTCTTTTTTTATTAACTACATGTTATTCATCTTATTTCTTTGTAATGAATACGTATATGAATTTTTTCAAAAACTAAAGTATTATTTCATGATTTAATTGATAGAGATGCCTTGAAAGAATTGGGTTATTATTATTATTAATGTAAACATTAATCTTCAATTTCTCAGATATAATCACTAATCAATTTGATTTGTTATTTTATTGAAATAACACCTTATCATATACTTTTAACTTACATTATTTTATATCTCTCATTTAGAAAGTGTTATTAAGAATTGTGAATATAGTACATGTGTATAATATATAAATAAAAAAGTAACGTAAAATCCATTCATGAAATTTAATTCATTTTATTATAATATATTTACTATAAAATACTTGTCTTGTATTTTATTTTTAGTATCAATACAGCTTGTAAAAATCTTATACTTACAGACTTAGTTGGTTTTGATCCTGTGTACTAAAAATTGAACTCTTTCATATTTAATGATGATCAAATAAATTATTCTTTCATCAACTTCTTAAATTATTTATCAAAATTATGGAATCAAATTGTAGTTAAAAGTACAAAAACTTATTATTTAAATGAATTAATAATAGTTCTAATATTTAATATCAAATATTATATAGTAATTTAGTTTAAAATACAATAATTGTTAGTTTTACTTCTTATTCGTTTTGTTAATAAATATATTTTATTTTTAAGTAAATTTAAAACTTATGAGAAATACTAATCTAAAGCTTATTAATACTTAAGATTTATATTTATATTATTTAATCATATTTTATTATTTTATAAATATGCATTAAGTAAATATTGTTAAATTTTTTTATATAATTTAATCAATTGAAAAGAGTCACGTAACAAAGTTAATTAATTAGAATAAAAGACAAAAATGAACGTTCTAGAAATAATATACCAAAACTCACTATTTATATGAAATTCAATAAAAGGGAGTTATTAAAATGTAATTTATAACAATGAATTCTTATACTCATATATATGAATAAAAAATAAAAGTATATTATTATTAAGGATTATATATATAATATTGATGAAAGATTAATTGTAATTGATTGGACAGAATTAATATATTTAAATAGTATATAAGGATTAATTAGGCATTAAATGTAAAGAAGGAGAATGATAAGTGTTTGAAGATATTTGATATTCTAAAATAAAGAAATTATAGAAATTTAGTTTAAACAGTGTATTTATATTAAATTATGTTAAATCAAAAATGCTTTATAGTCAATCTCTTTCAAAGCATGATTCTCTCATACTCAATTTATCATTAATTGGAAAGTGCAAGTCTACTCAATTTGATACAATTAATAATTATAACTTCAATTACTTTAGCATTAATATTAGTATAACATGTATATAATAAGTTCATGTTACAAGGAACTATTATATGCATATAATTAGATATGATTTGTTTAATAATAATGAATATACACAATTTTGGTAGGATACCCTTTTCATAAATCATAATTGCTTAAATATTAATAAAAGACTTGTTTTTAGAGTTTAAGTTGTGTTTAAAATCTCATTTATTTGCATTATAAGCAATAATCTCAGTATTTTTACTAGTTTACTCATATTTAAGAATTGAATTTGATAGAGAATAACCTTAATTATTGATATCTTTAATTATATCAATATACTTCAATTCTTCATTAACAAAATAAAAACCATCTAAAATTACATCAATTTTAACTGAAATTACAAATACAAACAAATAAGAAATACTGAATTCAAAAAGAGGTGTCTCATAATTTGATTTAGATTAAAATCCAAATTCTGCAGGTATAAGGGATACATCAGCAACAACTGAGAATAATATTTATGAATCAGCTATTTAATGTTTAGAATTATTATAGGAAGGAGTTATTTTATTAGTTCCAGATTCTAATTCTTCTAATTTTCCTTATTATATTAAATATTTAAATTAAGCTACAAAAATGTTATTCAATAAAGAGAGTGAATAAGAAGTACTTTAATTTATTGATGGATTAAATACATTTTAATTAGTTAATGGAGAACCAAACGATGATTTATTATTTGTTTCACAGATTTAAAGGTAACCATCTTTATATCTTTTTAAATAAACGACTGAAATCAAAGATTAAACATATTTATAATAAAGAAATCTTAGTTTAGATATGTCAATGGGTTAAGAAAAGAGTCAAAAATATAATATAAAATATATAATAGACATGTTATTAAAATAAAAAAATTAAGAATGTATAGTTGTTTAAACACAATTAAATTTAAGATATACAGTTTTTACAAATTAATAAATATAATCATCTCAAACCTAAATTAATTCAGAAAATAATTAATTATTAGAATTAACATTAACTTTGAGTAAAAATTAAAATATTATCATAATTTGTAGAGATGTAACTCATAGATAAAAAATTAGATATTTAAAAGAATATGATAAATAAAAGTCAAAAATGCTTTCATTTGTTAGTCATGAATATCGTTCTCCTTTAAACTGTATTATTCAAATGCTAGAATGTGTACTTAAATAAACTATAATTAAGAAAAATTAAGATATAAATGAATAATTACAAATAGCCTTAGATAATTCAAATTATATTTTAAATTTATCAAATGATCTATTAGATTTAGCTTAAATTAAAAATGGTAAATTTAAAGTAGAAAAGGTACCATTTAATTTGTAAACTTTAATTGAAGAATGTTAAAGAATGTTTGAATTAAAAGCTAAATTGAGAGGAGTTTAATTATCTATTAATTACAATTCTATTCTTCCAAAAACATTATTTTCAGATAGAAATAGAATTAAGTAAATAATTGTAAATTTATTGAGTAATGCTTTTAAATTTACTTAAAGTGGTAAAATTAAAATAATACTTGAATTACTAAAATCAAATATATTAAGAATTGGAGTAAAAGATGAAGGAATAGGAATTTCAGAAGAAGATTAATAAAAATTATTTAAGGCTTTCTCAAAAGTAAATTCTGAAGAAAGCAGAAAACTCAATTAATAAGGAGTTGGGTTGGGTTTAGTTATAAGTAATTAAATAGCTTAAAATATTGGTTCTATTGGTTTGAATATAGATTCAAAAAATGAAAAAAATAATCATTATTGTTATTTTTATTTTGATTTATTTATTGATGACTTTAGATAAAAGAAAGTATCAAGTTTCAGAATACCTGAAATTTCATTATAACCTTAAGAAGTTGATGAAATAACTAGTTTTAAAAAAATACCTTCAAACATAAAAGAAGATTTATCTACTTAATAAATTTGTCTTCATTATTTAATAGTTGATGATGATTGTTTTAACATATTTGCATTTAAAGGAATGTTATAAGAATTATATAAAAATAAAAAACATTTGTTTACTAGTGAATTTGATATTGATTCAGCATTATCTGGAAATGAATCTATAACAAAAATAAAGAAAAAAAAATGTTGTAGTACTTGTTAAGGATATAAAATTGTTTTTATGGATATTGAAATGCCTGGAATGAATGGCTAATAAACTACTAAAAATATATTACAAAGTTTACCAAATTAGATTATTATTGGTTGTAGTGGTTATACAGATTAATAAGAATATTAAAAGTGTATTAGTTCTGGTATGGCAGACTTTTTAGTTAAACCAATCAAAGAATTATAATTAATTCAAATACTCAAAAAGTATTAATGATAATCTATTTAATCTATTTTTTTAATATAAATAATCATTACAATTATTCTTAAAAATCATTATTATGTTTTCATTAAATTTAATATATTAGTTAACAGAATATTTGAATTAATTATTATGGATAAATTGCCAATTGGTTATGTTAAAGGAAAAGGAAATGTATTTATCAATTTGAATTCTTAAGCCTCTTGATAAAAAAGTACCAAAAAACAAATAATATGATCATATCAAATAAACATTAAATACAGGACCAACTGTAAGAGACATTGAAGTAGTAAGTAATGCTAAAATAGCTAAAAAAAGATCTGAATTATTTAAACGTATCAAATGTTCTACTGTATTTAACTATATTAATGTATACTTTATATATAATCAAAGGAAAATACAGAATAAGAAACTATTTATAAATTAGCAGATTAATAATAATAAGAATAAGAGCAATTACAATAATTTGATACTTAAAGTCAATATAGTTAAAAAACTAGATTTACAGAAGTATCATAAGTTTCTGCAATTACTTATGCCACAGAATAATTGGGTATAACAGATTAATCAGAATTTCTTCTTTTGGATTTAAGAGATCCTGATGAATTTGAATTATATCATATTAAAGAGGCAATCAATTATCCTGCTCCAAATTTAAGATAAGATAAATTAACTTAATAAATTCATAGATTTGTACATTTATTTATATAATTAGAAAAATTAAAAAGATAAACACATTATTATATATCATTTTGATGAAAAGAATGGAATTCCTTCAGCTACACTTTTTGCTGAAAAAGGTTTTGAAAATGTTTATCTTTTGAGTGGAGGAATTGAAAAGTTTCTTTAAAATTATCCTTAATGTGTTATTGGCATTAAAGTACCCTCAATTCCAAAACCTGAAGGTAATGATATTTATGAATAATAACAGAGAATCCAAATAAAATTATAAAGAGATCTAATTATAAAGAAACAGATTCCTAAATAAATAAGTCAGAAAAGAATATTAGTGATTCAAAATCACAAATTAGTTAGAAAACTAAATTTACTAGATAATCAAGTTAATAGAAATAATAATAATCTTAATATATAGATAAATGATATAATAACATTAATTTAAGTAATTTTTTTTATAAATTATTTTCATTATTAATAGGGGAATTTAAGTTTCCATTTTAAACTAATTAATATTATTATGAATAAACAAATAAATTTAGATTTATACATATTATTGAATTTTAGAATAAATTATCATTTTAAATTATTATATAATATAAAATGGAATTACTTTAAAAACTTATTTCAATTCCTAAAAATGTTTTATTATCTCTAAAATATTTGTAATAAAAGAAATAACAAATATAAGTTATAGAACCTATAAAACTAATTGAAGATTGTAAAATTGAAACTATTGAGATTATGGAATAATAAAGATTAATCAAAAAGAAAATTGTTGTTGATAAACAAATTTAAACAGAACTTAATATTGTAAGACTATTAAAAAATCTTAATAGAAATAGATGATTAAAAGAAATAATAAGAAATAATCATATTAATTTAAGAAAAATGAAAAGTATGCTAATAAATAAGATTAAAGTCTAAGTGAAGCATCATAAAAAACAAAACCTTCTTAATATTCCTATTGCTAAAATAACTTTATAGATTCATTTGAATTAGAAGAAAAATAAAAGAAACTTGAAAATGAGGGATCATTTTATACCGCCTAAAAGAAATCTTTATAATAAACTCATCAAGAATTTCTTGATAATTATTTTATTAAATTAAAATTACAATTAGATGATAAAGAAAATCTAATTATAAAATAGAATACAGACTTTTTATTTAAGAGAAATAATTGAAATAATCAATTTTGTAATTTAATTAAAAAAAATGTACAAATAATTAAATAATATATATATATATATATAATAATTAGAAATATTTATCTATTTGATCAAAATATAACTCATATTAATAATAAAGTATTAATTTTGATCATATTATTTATTAATCTACCTAATCTGTTTAATTATTTGGATTTTCATTTAGTACTAATTTAGCAGATACTACATCTTAATGTTTAAGACCCAAAGACTTAATTTATAAATTATATAATTACTTCATATAAAGCATTAGCAATTTTTTCATTATATTCATTTAATTATTATTTATTTGGTGCAATTGATATCAATTTTTTAGCTGTTTTTAATTTAGCATCAACTCCTGCATTATATACATAAGATGATAATCTATTTTAAGGTAAATATGAATATATCATTCTTGTATGATCAAATGGAGTTTAAAAATGACCTTCTCTATGTCCATCTAATATTCTTACTATAATTGACATATTATCTAAATATTTAAGTGCATTCTTTTTTTATTTTGTTAATTCTTCAATTTATTCCCATACTTCCCCTCTTTAAAATTCTTCTATCATTTTATAAGTAATTTCTCCTGCAAGTACTGGTAATTAATATATTCCACTTTTAACAAATCCATTTGCTGTGAATATAGGCATTACAGTCCATCCAACCTTTTCCACAATAGATTTTGTACCTCTCTATGAAAATTTAACTCTTCTTATATCAAATACTAAATGTGTATTTTTATCATATGGGATATCTTTAAATTTAAAATATCCTTCATTAAATTATGGTGATTATAATGCTGATTCCCAATTATATGAAGTACATGTTATAATTTCATTTGCTAAATTTGCATCTCTTTATTATAATTATTATGATTATTATTCATACAATTTTCCAGGAGGATTAATTGAATAAATAGCTACATATGGATGATCAGTATCAGGTACATTATGAAAACCATCCAAAGATACTTTAAATCCAACTTATCCTCTATATTTAGCAAAAAAAGTCAATTCAATAATATCTGTATATGCATCTCTTACCAATGCACTATCTAACCAGGATAAAAATTAAGCACCTGTCATATTTTATTAGATATTTTCATAAGACATTAATCTTCTCATTAAATCAATTAATTTAGGATCCTCTCTTTAAACTCTAATATTATATAAAAGTTTTTCAGTTTCTCTGATTGGACAAAATTAAGTATTATAAAGACCAGTACCATATGGAGGCATTCTTTACCATACTTTTTTTGCTTCCCAATCTTTTTAACTAAAATCATTAATAGATAAAGGTTTAAATCCATCATCTGACATAGGAGCTAAGAAAATACGTACAAGTAGTGTAGAGCATGGCAATCTATCAAGTTTTTAGACTCTATTCATATTAAAAGGTTTAATCATTGCAGGATGTTAACAATGTATAGGTATTTAATATAAACCATTCATTAATACTACATCTCTTTCTAATGGATTAGTTGGTTACATTTTAGTAGCTTTAGATAAAAATAAATTAATAGCACAATATCCAACAATTCTAACTTCTTTTTTAATATTATCTTTAGTTAAGATTGTCATGAATGCTATAGTAGTTGGATCAAAATGAGGACTTCTTAATTCATTTTTATAATTAAATGTAGGTGAATAAGTAGTTGCTCCAATATCAGGTATAACTGATTTAGGAGGATATAATTTCTCTAAATTAGTATTCATAAACATTAAAATGATTTTACAAACAGTAACATTATCTGGTAAAAATCTAGCTTAATCTATATAAAAATCTATTCCAAATCCTTTATCAAATGGTCTATCTTAATATTATTATTTAATATTTTCAATAAATGGTCTATCACTTAATGGTAAATTCTACCAATCATAAGCAACTTATTTTTCTTTTTTTTCTTTCTTTGGTTTTATTTTAGGTTTTCCATGTCCTCTTTATTTTCTTTTTAATTATCTTAATTATTTAAATTTTTCAATTTATTCATTAAGATTACTCATATTATAATCAAATAAATTGATACTAAAATCAATTTAAGAATTTGTTATTCTACATTCAAAAGGATCAAATGGAGGTTTCTTAATAGGTGGTTCATAAATAAATTCAGAAAATCTTCCTATTTTAAGAATATTATTTTCAAACATTTTAAATGCATACCATCTTTTACCAACAGGTTTAACATCTGTTACTGATTTTTCTGAAACTACAGATTAATTATCTTTTTTATCATCTTCTTATTCTACTTATTCTGGAGGATAATCAAATACTTAAAATATTAAATATAAATCATCCCATGCTCTATTATTATGAGCATATGTAACAATATCAACAAAAAATTAATATTCTTCTTCAATAAATACAAATGGACCACCAAAATAATCTGATTTTAATTATTATTCATTCATTTCATAAGGATCTGTTTCAAATGAACATGGTATATCTTTTTCATCTTTCAATACTCCTCTTTTTACATCTGTTAAAAAACATCTAACTTTTGATTTAGTTTTCACAAAATAATTAAGTAATTCATGTATATTTATATATAATCCTCTTCTATTTTCACCTAATTCCATTAATTACCATTCAGGTTCCTTTACTTCTACTACTTCAACTTCTTCTGGTTCAATTTCTCTTTTTTAATTAAATAATTCATCAAATGCTAAAGGATTATATCCTCTTTTTCTAATTGATTATGGAACATGATCATAATCATGTTTAATTATTGTTCTACTATGAATACCAGTAATATAATATTCTTAAGTCATTGTACTAGGATTTAATGGTTCCATTTTAGAATATTCATTATCAAAAGGGAATGATATTCTACAAAATAAAAGTGTATTTGAAACACTTTTTAATGGTTTATCAGATGAAACTAATTAACTTGGATTTGTTCCAGTTGGATAAAATGGTAATTTAAATCTACCTCTTATAAGATTCATATTCATATCAAATACTTCTAAAACTGTCCATCCATATATATCTAATCTTTTTCTACCTCCTTCTTGATAATAACATTATAATTCAATTACTACAATTATATCCTTATTTGGTACAACATCATAAACATATTAATGTTCATTAAACATACAATAATTAACTCTATATCCATCACTAACACACATATGATCTTCAACAATTTATGGTTTATTTAATGTTTATCCTCTTAAAAACATTCCCCATGTTAATCTACATCTATCATATTTTTTTGGTACATTTAAGCACCAATCCCAATGAATTACTAAACCTTCAGTTGGATTATATTTCTTTTCTCCTCTCCATGATTCCATTTAATGTATAAGTCTATCTCTTATATTCTATTTTCTTTCTTAATCTGAATCTTTTACTGTTTATTCATAATTCTCTCTAATTTTATAATATTTTTATTCTTAAACAGTTCTCTCTAATTCTAATCTCATTTATGTTATTTTATCAACTTTACTTTACATAATTTAATAATCTAATCCATATGGTAATCTTTCTAATGCTCTTTTTGCATCTGTTTCTTAAGCCAATAAATTTATTAATTTCTTTTATTCTGGTGTCATTGAACTATAATCTTCACTTTTTTCTGCAAATATACTCTCCAAACTACCATAACCATTTGCTTCTGCATATCTTTTTAGTGCAGGATCCATTCCAACCATATGCATTTTAATCTCTTATGATAAACGAGTTGCTGTTTATAAATTCTTTTCAATCATATCTTAATCATATTTTATTTATTAAGGATCATATTCAATAACTTTTTAATCATCAGGGAATTACCAATGTTATACAATTTCATTAGCACCTGCACCACTTTAATTTGAATTATCAGATAATATCTATTATGCTGCATATTTTGAAGCATCATTAGATCTATATCCTGTTTAATTCATTAAATCACTGAAAACACTACTCATTATTCTCATTCTATCTTATTCTATTGATTCTTTTATTTTATTTAATTAAATCACTCTATCTAAATTATCTTTCTTGTATAATCCACTTTTACTATTTAATATTTCATTACATTATGCTATAAAATTATTATACCTTTTATAATATTTATAATTAATACCTTTCAAATAATATATCTCTATCTGAACCCAATTATTTCAATTCTTGCACTCTTTAAGAATCCTTAGCTTTCTTTATTTCTCTATCTATTGTATCTCTATCTTTAAGATATTCTCTTTCTTTCTATGTTCTATCTTTTAATTCTTTTAATATCATTTCTCTTTCTTAATCTTACCCAAAAAGTGCTACTCTTACAGATGCATTCATTGATTCTTATAACTGACTTAACTAATCTTTATCATATCTATTAAAGATCCTATAATTAAATACGTCAATGAATTATTCATCATTTAACTCATATTTATATTGCTATTATTCTCTCTTTCAAGTATGCGACTTCTTAATATTTTATATTCTTGCTCATTCAATTCCAATTATTCTGTTGTATTATTTAAAAGCATTGTAGATGATTAATTTGTTTCTTAATGCTACCCTAAAATTACTTTTACTTTTACTTTTCCCTAAATTCATTGTTGTTGACTATTCATTAAAATTACCATTGAAACTAGTTCCATTGCAAAACTAATTTGAATTATAAACTAAATTTACATTCTATTTATGATTCTAATAACTAGTAATATCTTCAAATCTCATCTAACATATACTAAAATAATATAAATCTTAATTATTACCCACAATCATACATTCTTCTATTCATTATTTCTAATTAATATGATTATAAAATATATATTATAATTAAATAAATCAATTATAACAAAATAAGTTATAAAAAACTAATCCTTATATTTTTATTCAATGAATATAAATTACTATTAAGTTATTTCCAATTAAACTTCAATTTAAATAAATCTTTAAATTAGGAATTTAAGAATAAAAAGTCTATTAATAACTCTTTAAATTTTTGAAGATCAAACAAAGTCTAAAATATCAATTTAAGGTGCAAAATTCATGATAATTAATAT